CACAACCCTGGGTCCAGAGTAGAATGACTCCAGCGAGCGCCACCGTAGCAGGAGATATGGGGGAGTAGCGCCCTCTTATGGTGATTGTTGGGCAGCTCAACAGCGGGTCGGCTCTGCGCTCGTGTCTTGGGAAGGTAATTTATCATCTCTTGGCTTGGGAATGTCTCAGAAAAGTTGGGAGGATGGGTACGGAGACAGGAATTACGTCATGATCTTGCTCACTGTGGAAATAGGTTTGCACCAAAAAAGAGGAAGCAGAGGGAGAATACCAGTGAAAATCAAAGGGGGAAAATAAGTAAGAAGAAATGATCTTTTCGAAATAGGGCAAAGTGAGTTTTTCTGGTTTGCCCTAAAACATTTGCATTCCTAAGGCTTGGAACCTCCTGTCTTATATTCTGGGGACTGATCCAGGCCTCAGCTTGATATAACAGAAAGGGGATTTTGTTTGTGTGCCTATAGACTGAGGTAGAGATGGCTCTATTAGCATGTGTCAGCATGGAGCACTGGGGATACCTGCTAAGAGTCCTTCCATCTATAAGGAAGTCCCTCTGAGTCCTTCCATCTACAAGGAAGGACAGAGGGAGGCGTAAAGAGGCCAGGTTCCCTAGGGGTCAGGTGGGGATAGAAGAGACATCAGCAGATTCAGAGAGCTAGTGAGAGCTTTGGGCCTGTGAGGCACCCAGAGAGTCTAAGTAAAACTAGGCCCATTGAAGAACCAAGCAGCGGGGTTGGGGGGGGGGGGACTTCAGAAGGTTCCAAACACCTCACTGGTCCTGGGACCCTTAATAAATGAGCAGTTCCTGCCAAACCTGAACTCAAATCTCTTGTACGCATTCTGGACTTTGGGTGTGGATGACTCAGCTGTCAAAAAAGTTGTTTGATAATGGACTTGAACCCTTCTGCCTTCCACTAAGTGGAATGTGAGCTCAAGACTGTTTCTTGATCCTGCCATAACTTCAAGACTTGTGCTTTAAACAAAATTGGATCTCAGTAAGTCACTGTTAAATGGACTAGTGCAAGAATAAGTGAATGGACCACTATCCACAACAGTTTTGTGGTGGGTAGTCCATTGCTGGTGAATGAATGGGTGACCTCTTGGAGGCACAAGCTGTGTGGTTGCTAAATTGGCTGTGAGTTGAAAGATGTTATGCTTGGGCTGATCCACCTGTGGGAACTTTGCTTCGAAGCAGGATGTGGGCTGAGAGCTTCTCCTCTTCCTATTTTTGAAGGTGGGGGTTGGGTACTGAGAGTCTCTCTGATCTGTTAGTGGGGCCTCAGCAGGGGCTGCCAGATCTGCAAAATGGAGAGTTGAGGGGGGAAGGGAGAAAAAGAGGATGTAAGCATCTGCCAGTCGTGAGAATGCAGCCGCCCACAGGGACTTGGGTTGTTCAAGTTGAGGCCAAGACTCAGCCGCCATCCACCCATGGCCCTGGCCCAATGTTTTGCAAGACAGAGACTAGGATAAAATGGGGTGCTATTAGTAGAGCTATTGGAGGGGATTAAATGTGATAATGTATGTGAAACACTTAGTCTAATACCCGGTTCAGACTGTACACTCCATGATTATTACTTAATATTATCTACTATTATTTTCCAGGGATTTCTGGATGTTCACATTTAAATGGAAAAAAGGTGGAGTATTGTGAGGAGCAAAAGCCTGAGGTCTCAGGGTGACCCTCCTGTGGAGTCATCACCGACTGCCGGTGCTTTCCCTGGTTGCAGAGAAACTGGACTGGACCTTAGCTGTCATAGCCCCGTGGTCATTCCCTGTGTCACAGGCTGGGTTCTCCGGAAGCAGATGTGGAGCTGGAGTGTGGGCACAAGTTGTTTATCAGGAGTTATCACTTGTGAAAGGAAGGGAGGGAACAGGATTGGGCTGCAGGAAGAAGCTGAGTTTTTAGGCAGCTTTAACAAAGCTGAGCCCAACCTCGATAGAAGTCCTAGAGCAAGTGACATCCATCAGCAAGTTCACACTTCAGACCCAAATTTTCCTGAGCCTTTAGACCCCCATCTCATTCAGTCACCAAATGTGGGCTACCCTGGTAAGGTCATGACCTTGAAAAGAGAGGAGGCTTTCTGGTAACTGCAGCCCCACAGCACGGTGACAAGTATCTAGAAGGCTGCTCGGTAAGGAGGGCATCTTTATTCAGGACCTTCAGCCTGTTGGGGCCTGACGCACAGAGACGGATGTTTATGATTCTCATTGTTCTTTGAAGAATCCCATTTCCTCCAGTGTGGCAGTTCACAGTGCGGGTCCGCAGCATGCTTTCACAGACCCGGTCACATGTCCATGTTGGTGAGGGGCCCTCAGGCCATCTGAGGCACAGCCAAAGTGGGCACAAAGGGGTCATCCCACTGGCTCATGGTGGAGCCAATGAGTGATCTGATACCTTTTCCACTTAGTCGGAATGGGGGTCTGGGGAGTCCTGGGGGGATCCTGACTGAAGAAGTCAGCATCCCATGTGATGCTGGAAATAGGGACTGAGGGGAAGCTGAAGGAGGGGGGAGCTCAGAGCATCTACAGCGGGGACTGGATGATGTGGCTTGAACAGAAAAAGAACCAAACTCCTGGACTCTGCACCCAGTTCCAACAACAGCTTTGCCTTGGACGAATTATTTCCCCGCCCTGAGTTTCAATTCTACCACAAGCCTGTGTTCTCTCACCCTGGTAACTGGCGTCCAGGCTGAAACGTTTCACACACTTAGTAAGTGTGGTCGCCTCCAGTCATAACTGAGTAACCCTCGCAGCATAATCTAGAAAAGTGCATGACACTTTGATGATGTGGGTAACGTGCAGTTCAGGGCTGTGGCCTTTGACAGCAGGAAAGCAAATGAGGCGAGTCTTACCACTACCCCAGATTTCTGCCTGGGGGCAAGGTCACGACTGCAGCACAGGCAGAAGGACCCAGGGGGAGCATGGAAGTCCCACTGAGCTAAGGAGGCAAGGGTTGAGCTTAGGGAGGCTGAAATGTGCATAAACCCTACCATAGAATACAACAAGAGCTCCAGCAGCCTGCACCGCCTTCCCCCGTGGAACGCTGGTTGAACTGTAAGAAGTATGTCTATGGGGTGAAAGGTCAGGAGAATGGGCAAAGGACAATTACCAAGGAACTTAGTACCCCCAGAAAGCCAGAGGCCAGGAGACATTGAATTTTAGACTGATCAGAATGGAAAGTCCTTGTCAAGCAACTAGGAAACATCATAGAGGCCTCAGAAAAATCAAACCTTAGTAAAGGACTACACGAGCCCCAGAGTAAAGACGACTCTAGACCTGACCTAACTAAGCTGAAACACAAGGTTCAGAATGCTCAAGTTGATCTGCAAATAAATTAACTACCCAGCAACAAAATCTAAACATCCAACTACATAACACTTATTGCATTCAGCATCTAATAAAAAATAACCCGTATGCTCCATTTTGAAAACAAAAGACAAAAAACAAAAAAACAAGACAACTATGGAACTAACCTAGGTGCCCTGCCACAGATGAATGATGGATAAAGAAATTATTTTGCACACACACACACACACACACACACACACAATGGAATATTACACAGCCTTAAAGAAGAATGAAATGATAGCATTTTCTGGTAAATGAGTGGAGCAGGAGAATATCATGCTAAGCAAAACAAGCCAATCCCAAAGTATCAAAGGCCAAATGTTTTCCCTGATATGCAGATGCTAATTCACAATACTGGCGATGTGTGGGGGGGGGCTAAGGAAGAATAGATGTACTTTGGATTAGACAGAGGGGAGTGAAGGGGGGAGGGGGTATGAGGGTAACTTTGGATTAGACAGAGGGGAGTGAAGGGGGGAGGGGGTATGAGGGTAGGAAAGATAGCAGAATGAATAGGACATTATGACCCTATGTGCACATATGATAACATGACTGGTGTAATTCTATGTCATGTATAACCAGAAGAATAAGAAGTTATACTCCATTTATGTATGATGTGTCAAAATGCATTCTACTGTCATATATAACTATTTAGAAATTTTTAAACATCAAGAAAAAGCTAGCAGTAGAGTCCAGGTGTTTTGCATCCCCTAAGCTATTCTTTCCCACTCAAATCACATCATTCCCCGCTCCCAGCTTAGCTACTCTGAGCATCCCCTTCCTCCTCAATTGACTTCTCATTTTATGCCTTCTAATATTGCGTGGGATGCTGACTCATAACCAGGAGAAGAATGGGTCAATAAAAATAGACCTAGAAGTGACAGAAATGATCATACAAGAACTTTAAAACAGCTGTCCTAAATATGAACATAAGGAAGAGAGTAATGGAAATTATGAAAAAACAGGGAACTGAAAAAATACAACGTCCAAAATGAAAACTTCACTAGATAGGCTTCATAGAGTAGGTCCTGCAGAAGATATTGGTAAGTTTGAAGACAAGGTGATAGAAATGACCTAAACCCAAACAAACAAGGAAAAAAAAAAAAAGCAAAAGCAAAAGCAAATCAGTCACATGCCCTGTAGGTCATTTTCAGGATTTTGATCTCCAATCTAAGTCATTGAAGCAGCACCACGGAGAGCTTTTAGGAGAGAGGCAATCCCATCTGACTCATGTTTTAATGGACTAATTCTAATTCTGGCTACTGTGTTGAGAATCGACGGAAAGGGAAAAGGACTCTATACTGGACAAGTTAACACTGCGTTATTGTGAGTGAGAGGTGTTGGCGGCTTAGACCAGGTTAATGGCAATGCGGGTGGTTAGAGGTGGTTGGAATCACAGCATGTCGTTTGATGGTAGAGGGAACAGGATTTGTTCATTCATTGGATTTGGAATCAAGAGTGATGGCTACATTTATATACTGAGCCTTTAACCATTTCTTGGGGGTAAGAACTCTGTATCAGGTGGGATGCCTTTAGGTATATGTAATGGGAAACTCAACTAATGACATAAAGGAGCTGGAGCTTCTCCATCTCATACCTGGTTAGACCAAGGCTGGTCAGTTACTCAAGACTGTCAAAAGCATCCCAGGCTTTTACTATCTTTCTGCTAAACCATATCTTTTTTAAAAAAAAACTGATTTTATTTTTTTAAATACATGAGAGCGGAATGCATTACAATTCTTATTACACAAATAGAGCACAATTTCTCATATCTTTGTATATAAAATATGTTCATGCCAACTCATGTCTTTATACATGTACTTTTTTGGCATTACAATTCTTATTACACATATATACCACGATTTTTCATACCTCTGTATGTAAAGTAGGTTGACAACCAATTCGTGTCTTCATACATGTACTTTGGATAATGATGTCCATCACATTCCACCATCCTTGCTAATCCCCTGCCTCCTCCCTTTCCCTCCCTCTCCTGTTCCCCATTCAGAATTCATCTATTCCTCCCATTCTCCCCCTCCCTACCCCACTATGAGTCAGTCTCCTTATATCAGAGAAAACATTCCGCATTTGTTTTTTGGGGGGATTGGCTAACATCACTTAGCATTATCTTTTCTAACGCCATCCATTTACCTGCAAATATCATGATTTTATTCTCTTTTATTGCTGAGTAAAATTCCATTGTGTATATATACCACATTTTTTTAATCCATTCATCCACTGAAGGGCATCTAGGTTGGCTTCACAGTTTAGCTATTGTGAATTGTGCTTCTATAAACATTGATGTGGCTGTGTCCCTGTAGTATGCTGTTTTTAAGTCCTTTGGGTATAGACCGAGGAGAGGGATAGCTGGGTCAAATGGTGATTCCATTCCCAGATTTTCAAGGAATCTCCATACTGCTTTCCATATTGGTTGCACCAATTTGCAGTCCCACCAGCAATGTATGAGTGTGCCTTTTTCTCCACATCATTGCCAACACTTGTTGTTTGTCTTCATAATAGCTGCCATTCTGACTGGAGTGAGATGAAATCTTAGAGCAGTTTTGATTTGCATTTCTCTGATTGCTAGAGATGGTGAGCATTTTTTCATATATTTGTTGATTGATTGTATCTCCTCTTCTGAGAAGTGTCTCTTCCGGTCTTTGGTCCATTTATTGATTGGGTTATTTGTTTTTTTGGTGCTTAGCTTTTTGAGTTCTTTATATACCCTAGAGATTTGCGCTCTATCTGATGTGTGAGGGGTAAAGATTTGCTCCCAGGATGTAGGCTCTCTGTTCACCTCACAGATTTAAAACATACCTTAACAGGTTGTTTTTTTTTTTTGTCTTTTTCCTTTGCCTCATAGTCCCAAGATTGCTGCTGAACTTCCAGGTGTAATGGTACTATTCCAGGAAAGAAGAAATGGCAGAAGGTCATAAGGTGCCCATCCAGCCGAGCTTGTTTCTTTTTATCCAGAAAACAAAGCTTTACTGGAAGCACATACCCATACACATGGGTCATGTGGCCATCCTTAGGAGAATGACATTTGTATGTTTTGTTGAAAACGATAGGGCGTCATTGTTTTAGGCCAATCTCCTACAACTGGGCCCCAATAAAACAAATTAAAAATCAAAATGAAGTCACTCATACTAAAAAAAAAAAAATCAAACAGACATTAAGTATGTTATCTTACCTTCCAAGAAATCAGAAAAGAGATAACAGCCCAAATTCCCAGACCAGCTTCAGGTGGCACTATGATGAGGTTCCTTCTGCCTTAATCCTTACACACAGAGTAACCTGACGTGAACCAGCCAACTACTAGGTGTGTGTATTGCTCTGTCTTCCTGCCCCTGCCTTAAGAGAAAGTCACGTTGAAACCATCAAATCGTGTTTTCTTCTTGGTTGCTGCTTCTTTAGCCCTTTTCTGTTTATAAAAATCCATCTCTTCAGCCCCAGCCCGTTAGAACTCTTAAGTTCTGTGGCTTGATTTTGTCCAACCAAAAATAAGGCCGATTTGGATCTTTAAATTGTAATCCTGCCCTTTGACTATCTGATTTAGGTGAATTACATTTCTCTCCTCCTTGAATTCAAGGGATTCTATTGGTTCTTGCAAATAGGGCTCCTGTTAGCCGGGAAGAAGTGACGTGGGACTGGCAGGAGGGATGTGCAGTGGGGAATGGGTGATTTCTACCATTGACTGCTTTTTTGCAGTTTTGTTCCCAAAGAGCTCCTCCTCGCCCCATGTTTGGTGGATGTATGTAATAAATGTTCTGATAGGATGCTGCCCAATGGCATTGTGCTTGGGGAGGACTTCATAAATAAGCTGACTGAGAAGCACAGGAGGGGCACGGAGAAGGGCACCATTTCTGATGACAAAGCCACAGCCTGGAAAGACAGCAGCAGTGCCCTGGGACCCCTCGGGGTCTGTGTCGAAGACAGCAATCAGCCTGGTTACCTGGTGTTAGAGTCTGTAAACAAGTCAAAAATAACACCTGGCATTTTGCCAGGGGAATGTTAGAGTTCATAAACAAGTCTGGATGGTGCCTGGCAAAATGCCAGAGGGAGTGGTTTGAGAAGTAACAAAAGCGAGCCATTAAGTGTGGAGATTCCATATTGGTTGACTGATGTATCTAGTTTATGCTAATTAGATAAGCTCTGTGGAATGTATAAATACTGCTCCTGTCCTGCAATAAACGGCTCCTACTCCTGCTGTATCAATGTTCACAAGTTATTCGTCACCCTCCGCTTATTTTGCCCAGCCAGCCACGCTGCGGCAGATGGTGGCCTGTTACGGGGAGCCCCGGGACACTCGGGGGTAAGTGACGAAAAAAAGCTGCCCGTCCATAGATAGGACGGGAGCAATCTGCTCGTCCCTAGACAGATAGGGCGAGAGGAAAAATGGCCATTTTGAGAAAATGGAGAAGATTGATACAGTATGTTTGTGTCTTGTTTTGTCTTAAAATGTTGTATTGTCTTTGTGATGAAAATATGGAAGGGGTGAGAAGTAAATTTCTAAGGGAAGAAGGCACCCCAGTGGAACCAAGAATAGTTAAGGCATGTGTTGATAAGAGCCCAGGAACTCTAGTCAGAAAGAAAAAGAAAGTTCAAAAGAAAAAGGATTATCAGAAAAAACATTGCAGCAAAAGGCTATTACTAAATACTTTTCGTTACCGGAGGGTGCGTGAAGCGGAGAGGCGGCTGCTGAGTGTGCAAGCCGGTCACAGCGCAGCAAGGAGTTTCCAAGAGGCGGCAACTGGCCCTTCCCCGCCTCCCGGCCGGGGAGCTGGCTCTTCCACTGCCACAAGCCCAAGTCTAGACCTGACCTGGAGACACAGTCTCACAGGCTCTTGCTCCCTGTGCCCAGTAGCATTTTGAGTCCGGGACTCTCCCCAGGGCCATCTGGGGCTACCCGGGACGCTACAGCCGCAGAAGACACTACTGGTGTCCCTGATGTTTGGTCATTTTCAATGCCAATAACTAAGCTACAATGGTTCTCCCACACCTGGAAGCTAATGAGTAATGAGCACCATTAAGGCTTATTTCAAATGTAAAAAAACCTTGAGATAATGTACTAAATTGTTCAGAAGGTTGTTTTCTTAGTGGAATGCTACAGGATTTTCTTTAGCATCTTTACAAGAGTTCCTACCTTCGTCCCAGTGCCGGTGAGGACGAGGATGGAAAAATTTCCCGTGTTGCTGAAAACCGGACTGAGATTTCAGCTGAGAACCGGATGAGACTTTGGATTAAGCTAGCTGCCTGCAGAACTTACCTGGACTGTGATTTAAGCTAGCTGCCTGCAGAACTTACCTGGACTGTGATTTACCTGGACTGTGAGTTAATCTATTGAGACACTGCTTTACCTAGACTGAGACAACAAACTGTAATCTATAACAAATTGTAACTCGGTATCTTTGCTAACAGTGTCATTGCTGGTATAATTTTTCCAAGGGCTTCTTGCATGGAGCCATCAAGTGGCTTGGTATTGTGGCATTTTGTATCCTCCCTTTCTGTTTGTAGCAGGTTATTTATGGTGTTTCTGTAAAAACCACTATGGTCGTTATTTAAATTAAACAAAAGGGGGAAATGTTAGAGTCTGTAAACAAGTCAAAAATAACACCTGGCATTTTGCCAGGGGAATGTTAGAGTTCATAAACAAGTCTGGATGGTGCCTGGCAAAATGCCAGAGGGAGTGGTTTGAGAAGTAACAAAAGCGAGCCATTAAGTGTGGAGATTCCATATTGGTTGACTGATGTATCTAGTTTATGCTAATCAGATAAGCTCTGTGGAATGTATAAATACTGCTCCTGTCCTGCAATAAACGGCTCCTACTCCTGCTGTATCAACTTTCACAAGTTGTTCGTCACCCCCCGGTTATTTTGCTGCAGCCGGACTGCGGCAACCTGGAGAAACAAGGGATGTTCTCCAGGTAACTAACATGGTAAGAGGGGGTGGAGGGGAATATGTCTATTTTAAAGCTGGGAGCAGAATTCTCCTTAGAGATTATTTTGTTTGTTTGGAAAAAAATTTGGATGATCACTTACGTCCCAAGATCCAGTCTTCAGAGAAAAAAAAAATGAAACAAAGAAAACTGAATTGCTCTGCAAAATAAAATAAGCAGAATCTTGAGTTCTGGCTGTCAGTGCAAGAGGAGGGTTAAAGCGATCCTGGGAACTGGGAAGGAAAGGGCAAATACTTAAGCCGATGGGAGAGAAAGTGAGTTCCCCAACCTGAGGCCCTCTCCCCTTTGGACATAGGAGAAGTCTACCAAGCCGGCCAGGATTTAAACACAGGAATTCCTGACTGAAAGCCTGGTGCTCTCTGTGCCTGCAAGCCTCCCCAAGGCCACTTGCAGCTCAGTGTTGACCCGGAAGCTTTGGCTGGAGTCTGTTGATCATTAGGAATGCCCTGCCCCCTCCGCATCTCTGGCTATGGAGAGACTGAGGTATGGGCTCACTGTGCTGGCAGGAAGTCCCACAACCATCTCAGGGAACAGCCATTTCCGCTGGTTAGTGGTGAGGGTGATGGTTCCACCTCCTTCCCCAGAACAAGCTGATAAACAACCTTAGTCCTGTCCCTCAATTGGGTGTAATGCAACCAGGCCACTGTTGCTAGGCCAACCGAGAACTTCAACCTGATTTCTTGATGAGGACTGGCATCTGAGCCCCAGACTATCTGTGCCAATTTGCATTTAGTTTCCTTTGAGCGCAAAACAAAACAGTTATTATCACCGCGTGGCTCATTCACCCCAGAAACTTGAGGCTCCCTGTTTCTTATATTATCTACAACTTGATTGATGCTCAGACCTCCTACCCATCATGCCGTCTCAGAAGCTGATTACTACTATATTCTGCTTCCTCAGTTGCCAGGCCTCTTGTAAGCTCTGTTGAAAAAAAAAAATTAGTTGTATAGGGCAATAATATTAGCTCAAATACTCCAATAACTGAAAGCATTTTTTTCTATCTAAAGTTTTCCTTGATCTTTGCAAGAACTCTACAAATTCTGTTGGATGTGAAAACACCTTAGAGGGCTGGGATGAGAACTTTGTGGAGTTGAGGCAGGTTTGTGAGGTTCCAATTCCAGCACTCAGCAGCGTGACTCTCAGGAAATGATGGCTGTCTCCAGACTTATTAGGGTAAGACATAAAAGTGAACAAAGAAGTGGGAAGTGACACAGTAGGTTGGCTATTTGGGGGCTCCTAGAAAAGTCAGCTAAAAGTCAGCCTCCTTGGAGGCTGAGGCTGGCCCTTGGCCCCCAGTTGGTTTGGAATTCCGAGTGCAAGCTCCCTGAGGCCACTGAGTTAGGAAACTCTATTCACCAGAGTTCAATTTGGGGACAGGTGTTAACTTGGTGCATATGCTTAAAAAAGCACAGAGGACCTGGATATGCATATGATGTGCATCCATCTCTTTAAATAAGACACGAAACTTAAGACAGAATGATGCTCTTCCGCAGCCAGGAGGGAAGGAGGAGAGTCGTTTCTGAGACCCGCCTGGGCACCATGGTTGTGAGGGCGACATCAACCTTGCCTTTCCACCAACCGTCGGTCTCTCTTCCTTCCAGGCTTCTGCCCCCTTGGACCTACCTTCTTTCTTCCTGTGGTTCTTTCAAAGCCTCTAGTCATCTCCTTGGCTTCCCCTGCATGTCATGTCACTGAGCAGGCAACTGTTCTAGCAGGGTCACTTGGCCCAGCTCCTTCCAGACTGAAGTGTGAGATGGGAGGAAGGGAATGGGGGTGGGGGGCAGGGGGCGGCGCCTTCTTGGCCTTTGTTACTCAGGGGAACTGGAGAAGGGTTGGGTGTTAGTCAATTAACAAGGACTTACCGATTTCTCTGTTCCAGGCCTGTGCCAGTAGCTCTCTGTTCTCTGTTGTCTTTCTCTGCTCCTGCAGTGAAAAGAGGGAAAACACAAGGCAGTTACCCAGCAGATCCCTCTCTTGGGCTGAAGACAGAGGCTTGGGCAGAGATGGCTCCTGGAATCCGGCCTGGCAGCCTCTAACTGGCTGCATGGGGAGGAGGCTCATGCCCTTCAGGGAGGCCAGGGGCTGGCAGGTGCTATGTGCTCCTGGCAGCAATTGCCCCATTGCCAAAGCTAAGCGCAGCAGAGCTCCCAGCTTATGACAGCATCAGCCTGGGGCATATGATCACCTCTGATACTGTGCCTTCTGACTTGGTATTCTGCAATTCTAGATTCTTTTTGTCAATAAATGGCCAGACTACGGTGATTCACAAGACAGATAAGGTGCAAAGGATGTGGAAACCAAGCAGGTGATAAACAGATTTCATTGCCACTTAGGGAAAGAGAAGAGAATTTCAATTTAAATTAGTCAGTTAAAATTCAGGTAGCCAGGTGGTGGTACACACCTGTAATCCCAGAGACTTGGGGTTGGGGGCTGAGAGGCAGGAGGATTGCAAGTTTGAGGCCAGCCTCAGCAACTTAGTGAGGCCCTAAGCAAACTTAATAAGATCTTGTCTCAAAATCAAAAATTAAAAAAGTGCAGGGGATGTATCTCAGTGGTTAAGTGTTCCTGGGTTTAATCATATATATATAAAGTTATGTGCATATATATAAAGTTAAATGTATATATATATAAAATTCAGGAAGAAGACACCTTGGTAAAAATGGTATAAAAGATCATTTTTTGTTCAAAAAGACCATGAAAAAAATATATCATATTGCAAGATAAGTTATAGAATTAGGAAATTTCATAACCAGAAGAAGGGTTCAGTTGGTTAGCTTTGGAATTGAGCCTCGTCCCCCTAATCAGAGTCTCAGACCAAATCCTGACACTGGAATTTCAGTTCCTGTAGTTGCGACACTGGGTTGATGCTTAAATTTCTCTTGTCTGACTAGGAGCAAAGTGCAGTTCTGGGAAATCATAGAGATAAGCAGAGAGATGATAATACATTGCCTTACTGAGGTCATTCTTCCTGAGGTAGGTTTTTCTAGTGTGTTCACTCAGGTAAGCAATTTTGTCTCAAAATAAAAAATTAAAAAAGAGCAGGGGAGGTCAGCTGTTGACCGCGTTCTCAGGTAAGTATGGTTCAGTTGACACAACTTGCTTACATGTCCACAAAGTTTTTTTTCTTGTTCTGGTTTTTAAATCTTCTCTGCTGGAAGTTTGAAATATTGAGAAAACCAGGCATTTTGCATTTTGAATTGTAGCTAGAAATATCCAAGAATCTGATGAATTTACAAAGCCCCGTGTGATCTTCTGGCCCCGTCCTCCCCCCTGTGTTGCTGAATGCTGTGCTCATTTCCCAAGCATTAAGGTAAAACTAGTCACCAGCTTTATTTCTAGGGGTCATGTGCATCTTGGAGGACTTCTTGTAGCTATGACATCGTTATGATGAACCTGTATCCCATGCAGGGAAATAAAAAACTGTGGTAAGCCATTCTTATAGACCGTGGCCGCCATTAGAAGATGGCGCCGGCTTCCACTGTGGCCTGTGATAAACAACTCCTAATATGGAGAATTGGCGCACAATCCCTTCCCACCCTATGAGAGAGATCCACGTGGCAGCTTGGGATTGGTATGCGGGAGGCTTTATTAGGCTGTGCTTGGGCGCTCGGCGGGGGGTCACTAGAAGATGATACATGAATCAAGGCCTGAATAAACTGCTGAAAGAAGAATCCTGTGTCGTGTTTTCCCTTGCCGGCGAGGGGTCGCGACAAAAAACAAAACGACAAAACTCCACCCTTTGGGGGAATTCCTCAGAGTAGAAAATAGAAATGGGCAAGGCATTTGGAGACCAGTGAGCAGGTGACCTGACTTTAGTCACACAGGATGTCTGTTTGATGTCATCATGGGCAGCGTTCAGTACTGGACCACGTTCAGCTCCATGGAAGACTAAACAACAAATCCTGGTGGACTCATCAGAGTTTTCCAAGAACCTGAAGATAAGGTTTCCATTTGAGTTTGTTCACTTTGCCTGCTGGGTGACCTTGGGCAGGTTCCTTAACATCTCTGAACCTGTTTCTTCCTCTATAAAACAGGAATATTAATAAATATCAACAAATTATTGATAAGCTTGACTTGAAATAGTATTTTTAAAACACTTCCCATGAGATCTATCTGTTTCTCTTACATGAATGGAGAAGGAGAACTGGGAACTCCCTAAGTGCAATCAAGATGGTGGGAATATAGTTCAGTTCAATAAATACATATTGATCATCTGCTAATATTGTACTCATAAAGCTGTGGATTCATTCATTCATCTGTTCAAGAAATATTTATTAAGTAGTTTTTTTGTGAAGGGACTGGGTTATTTCTACTGGCTGCTCAAAGCCCTAAATAATGCTGAAAATACATTTTGAAGTTCTTTGTTCCTTTATTATGAATGGATTCTGCATTCACAGAAGGTTTAAAAGGTAAGTAGAGCTGGGGATGGTAGTAAAAGCCTGTAATCCCAGTGGCTTGGGAGGCTGAGGCAGGAGGATCACATGTTCAAGGCCAGCCTCAGCATCTTAGCGAGGAGGTCCTAAGCAACTTAGTGAGACCCTGTCTCAAAATAAAATGTGGCTCAGTTGTTAAGCACCTTTGGATTCAATCCCTAGTATCAATCAATCAATAAAAAGTAAGTAGGTATTTCTAAGTGGAAGAAGCCAATCTGAAAAGGCGACATACTGCAAGATTCCAGCTACATATGACATTCTAGAAAACGTCAACTATGAGTTAGTGAAAAGCTCAGGGGTTGAGGTAGTGTGGGAATGAGTGGAGGAGCACAGAGGACTTTTAGGACAGTGAAGCTATACCATATGGTATTGTAATGGTGGATACATGATTGTCAAAACCTGTAGAACGTCCAAGACAAAATGAGTACTACAGCAGCCTATGGACCTTAATTAGTAAGAGTGTGTCAGTATTAGCTCAGCAGTTGTAACCAGTGTACCCCACTAAAGCAAGACATTAACAATAAAGGAAACTATGGGTGGGGTGAGGGTGAGGGGGGTTGGGAACTCTGTACTTTCCCTTACATTTTCTATAAACCTAAAACTAAAAATTAGTCTACTAGTTAAATAAAAAAGTAAGCAGAATTTTCACAATTTATTTTTGTCTCCCTGGGGTAGGTTTGATTCCTCAGGCTAGATGCCTGCTTCTCTTCCATGATCCAGGGCTGCTCCGTCGTTGTCTTAACCCCCATACCGCCACATGATATCTCTTCCATAAGAATGTTGTCTTCCTTGCTCACCTTTGTGGGATCATGTCAATCTTCTATTTAGACCTCCCAATGGTCTCCTATGCCTAATGCTTCATGTGTAGTAGGTCACTTAGTCCTATGAGGTAGGTACCAATATTACACCCATCAAATCTGAGAAAACTGAGCACAGAGAGGTAAAGAAACTTGTCTGATGTAACACCAGCAATGACTGGCAGAGCTGAGATGTCGACCCGGGAAGTTCTGCTCCAGCATTTGCAGAAAAGGTACCAGAAAACCAAAGAGTGTTTTAAATTGTGGAGTATAACACATATTTTGGGTGGTGAAATCATTTTAAAATATGTCTCAAACAGGCATATTTTAAAAAATGCAATAATAGAATGGCAACTCCTATTCGCACATGGTAGGAGTTGGAATTGCACTCTGAACTTGTTTTATTTGTTGTGTTTGTGTGTGTGTGTGTTTGGATGCAGCATGGAGGCTGCTGTGCTTGAGACAGATACAGACGGCTCATCCATTCATTCTCTCATTGGTTCACTTACTCAGCAGTATTTACTGACGATCTAATGTGTGTGTGGCCCTGTGTTAGGCAACAGGGACATAGAGAGACAAAAGAGACATGGCCCATGCCTCCCGGGAATGACTCCAGAAAAGGAGAGAATAGTTGAACAAATAATTTCAGAAATATATATGGAACTAGATACGTTCTAATAATTATAAATGCTTTTAAGGGAACAAAGGAAAGGTGTGATTGGAGGATCTGCTTGAATGGGGCCAGAAGTCAAGGAAGTCCTCTCAGAAAGGATATCTTAAGCAATATGCAAAGAATGAGTGGAAGGTGGCGGAGGTGAGCATTTCAAGGAAGAACATTCTGAACAGAGGTCTCGGCATGTGCAAAAAAAAGTTGGGATTGAAAAGATCGGGGCACTTAAGAAGGATGGTATAAGGAGGGACCAGGTGACACGCATGAAGCCAGAGAAGAAACAAGGGACAGATAAGTTACGTCAGGACTTCATTCAAGGAATAGAGCAGAGTCTTTCATCCTGGGGAGACATACGAGGGCATTTGTTGCAGGACAGACGGTCATCCTTGTTTCCCACAGTCAGATGCTCTTTCCTAACCCTGCGTGTCATCGCTCTTTCCTGGCAGGTGTGTAAGTCATTTGTCCAAGCTGTTTCTCACAGGAGATCAAAAGCCAAGACTTGAGGCAGCTTGAAGGAATCAGGGCTGAGGCTTCTGTTCCTCTCAAGAGGAAGAGCACCATAGAGCACTGTGGATGCTGTCACCCTGGGGGAAGGAACGTGGTTTTCACTATTGTTGTTCTAGTGCTTTCGTGGCTAAGGACCAGATCGGAGCCTGTGTACAGGATAGGGTTACCTCTGAGTGGAACAAACACTGCCAAGATCACTCATTCTGGAATATGAGGATGCTGAGGCAGGGCTGAGCTCCAGGGCATTTCCACGGGAGTCAGGTCAGCAACATGGGGCAAGTCTAGGGAGAGGTGGAGGTGTGACGAGGAGAGGACCCCTGTGCAGCCCCTAGAAGTGGTATTACTTTGGCTTTAAGTTCTCCTTTCCAATGTGCTTCCTCTACCACAAAACAAAGTCTTAGCAAACCCTAGGCAAGGTCCTGGCAAGCCTTATTCCTGATCTCAATTGTCAGTGTTTGAAACTGAAGACAGGGTCAAAGTCCAAAGCAGCAGAGGAGGGAACAGGAACAGTCTGTCTTGAGACAAATGTGTGTAACTGCAGATGGAGAAAACAGCAACTGGGGTCCCCAGGGGTGGACTGTAGTGAGGAGTAACTGCCAAAACTGGTCTGTGGAGGGTGTGCTTCTTGGAGTGGCTCAGAAATGCTTGGAGACAGGAGCTTTCAGCGTTCAAAAGAGGCGGAGCTGAGACTCCAGGGATGTGAGGATTAAAGGGACAAGAGAAGTTTGGAAATCGGATTATGAATGTTCTTTCTAATCCTCCCGACTGCCCCGAGAAGCGATTTTATCATCTCAGGAGAGTGAGCTCAGGGAAGCTCCTAACCCAAGGCTGCAGGGCAGGTCAGGGGCCCAGTGGGGCTCACCTCCAGGTGCTTCTCAGATGCCTGACCTGCTGTTGTGTCACACTGCCTCCCTGAAGGACACCGTTGTGTGCATCCTTGCAAGACCTTCAGAAAAGAAAGGCTGGGGTCACTGTCCGCCACTCCACAGCAAGACTTGGGGGAACAGTCACAGGGGCACAAAGGGAGATGGCAGCTATAAGAAAAAGAACTTTGCTCCCAGCAGAAACTGAGGCCTCTTGTGCTGCCCTCCCCACTTCCTTATCCACACATTTATCACTGCTGTCCTCTTTTTGCCCCCTCAGCTAACATCCCCTTTTCCTATTTAAGCCAAACTTCTACCTAAGCCTCTGCTGGCACTTCCTTGCTCCCCCGGCAGGCCTTGTTCCGTCTGCACACTTTCTTATATTCTAAACCTCTGCCCTCGTTCCTCTCTCTCTGCCTTTAATAAGCTCTAATCTTTACCATCTAACCCACCACTTTAAACCAAATCTCCCTCTAACTACAGACCAGTCAACAAGTTCTTCTTTGCAAAAATGTAGATGACGCTCCCTAACTCCATTTCCTCAAATCCCAATCATTCCTCATTTCATTCTTAGCCAAATTCCACCTCCATTTCACTATTGTCATTCAAGTCGTCCTAATGTCCTAATTAATGAGTACTTTAAAAAATTGGGGGGAAAGTCTCATACACATATAGAGAAGTGCTAGAGTGTACAATGCAGAGAAAAAAATACTTAGTGAGTACACTTATATATCTACCACCAGGTTAAAAATGTACATGACCACACTCTGAAGCCCATAGTAAACTTCATTACTTCCTTCTTCCTTCTTAAACATAACACCATCTTAACCATACACTAGTTTTGCCCGTGTTAAACTTTATATAAATAGAATCTTACATCCTGTACTCTTTGGTGTTTGGCTTCTTTTGCTCCTTATATTTATACAATATAGCCATGTTAGTATGCACAGTGGTGGTTTATTCATTTTAATTACTGTACAGTACTCCATTGTTTGAATATACCACAATTCATCCATTTTACTGTTGAGGGACATGTGAGGTTTTTCCAGGTTAAGGCTATTTCAAATAAGGTTTTCATGGACATGCTTGCCTTGTCTTCTCGGTGCACTCTTGCACTTTTCTTTATCTGTTTTTAAGGGAAAAAAAAGTAATTTGGTTGGGAAGATTAAAGTATAATAAAGTCGACCAATGGGGCAACTTTATCATAAGCAACTCCTGCGTTGACAGAGACACCCAAGACAAAGGTCTAGCCTAGAGAATGTACTTGGGGAAGAGCTGTGTCCTTGCGTGCTGGAACCCAGAGAATAGGGAACAGAAACGGACTGTGTAATTAAGTGCAAAATTGCCTACGCCCAAAGTAAAGGCAACTTTTAGAGTCTCTAGGCTAAGAGTAGACAGTTTAATACTAGGGCTGGCTTCCCAACTTCTGCTCTCCCCTCATCTGTGACTGGAGGGTCACCTTGAAAGAGAGGAAAGGGGGATGTGGGTCTGGGCGGGGGCCATCCCATGGATCCCAGACATACTTCTGCCAAAGTCTCTTCTTCCCTCTGAGACCCATCTGGAAGCTGAGTGGTGAACAGAGAAACTTCAGATGGGCTCTGCACTTCCCACCCCTACAGATGCGTGTCCTGGGAGGGAGTGGGAGCCAAGGCAGATCCCCCAGGAACAAGTGGAACTTATCAAGCTGTCATGGTTGATCACTGGAATTTGAAGTCTTGGCATATTTGGAAGTCAGTGACACTGAGAAGAGGGAGGAGAAACTGCAAGGCTGCCATGGGATTTGGGATTAGAGGAGGAATGGGGATAGTTGCAATGATGATGACAGTGTCCCTTAAATTTGTATCACATAACAGCTTACAAAAAAACTTTCCATTCCCTGAGTTTTACATCTTTCCGGTAGGGCAGGTAGGACTGTCATTTTGTCGATCTGGGGAAGGAGACTGGATGGAAGGCAGGGTCAGGCCCCTAAACCAACTCTCCAAGAGCCTCCAGGGTGATATGCAGAATTTGGCAAGAGAAATGGCCAGAGGCCAAAGCAGTTGCAAGGAGAGGGGTGCAGGGGTTGAAAAGGTGGGAGGGCTCTGAAAATTCCGCCCCCTTCTGGGGTTAGGTTGGTGCCATCTGGGAACTGCACCTCCCAGCCCTCGTCCTGGAGGTGGTGGTGGGGGGTGCCTTTAGCCGGGACCCCATGCATTCGGGGACTGCGGGGCTCGGAAAGTCGAGCTTCCTTGCGGGGTGGAAGCCAGGTGGCACCGCCCCTCTCGGACGCGCGTCGAGCGCCCTCTGTCACCCCACACTGCCTTGCCAAGGGCCCAGAGAAGCGCGTCCCGCCCAGGTGCGCCGGGGGGTTGGGCCGGAGCCCGGAAGGTGCGCCGCCCCGCCCCAGGCCGGTCCCCGCGGCCCACCCCCCGCATGAAAGTGAAAGTGTCGGGGCCCGCGGAGGTCAAGGATTGGGGGGCGGGGCCGGCGCGGACCTGGGAGCGGGCGCCCGGGCACTCGAGGGGCCATGGATGGGCTCGGCCGCCGCCTTCGAGCCAGCTTGAGACTGAAGCGCGGCCACGGGGGTTAGTGCTGGCCAGGGCGCGTCGGGGCGAGGGTGGGGGGACCGAGCGGGGGCCCGGGAACCGGTCCTAGAGGGTGGCGGGAGTTGGGGACCCGGGAAGGTCGACGCGAGGGTCGAGATCCGGGAACAGTTGGGCGGGACTCGGGAAGGCTGGGCGATTGGACGGGATTAGGGGTCATGTGAGCTGGGGACAGCGCAGGTAGCGGTGAAAAGGGTTAGGTGGGGGCGGGGTCGGAGGTCAGCGAAGCGGCCGGGTCCGCCGGGGCGAGGGGGCCCCGGGGCCACGTGTCCTTTTATTCAGGAAACTTGTGGTGCAACCGCAGTGTGCCTGCAGCGCCCGGGCTGCGGTGTCCCCTCGAAGCGCCGCCTCAGTCCCACGTCGACTAGCAGCTGTGCCCGCCTCGCAGCCCCACGCCCGCCTGTAGCCTTTGCCCAGTTCCTGGGAGCCAGCTGCCCCTGACCCTGCCGAGACAGCCGGCCACGAAAACGGCCCTGCCCGGTGACCACGAACCTACCCCACTCAGGGGCGCCCAGGTGCCCCGCAGACTAGCGGCGGGTGGGCAGAAGCCTGCTTAGCTGCTTCCCGAGTGACCCAGAGATGTGGGACACTCCATCCCATCACTGAGATGGGACTAATTCCCCTCATCCAGTTGGTGGGGATTACGTTAGAAGTCAATGTTAGTTTTCTTTCTTTTCTTCTCAGAAGAGGGTTGGGCTTTGGAGGGAAGGTAATTAGGATATCACTAGGTTATTCATTCATTCAACAAACCTTTATTGCTGCTTGACTAGCCAGTCCTTCTGCTGAGTAGCCATAACCGTTTAGATTTTTTTTTTTTTTTACCTTAAGTTTCCTCTTCTGAGGAGAAACAAACACGGGAAGGGGAGCAGGGGTCACTCCCAGACAGCCCACTCCTTCCAACATTGACAAATGGACAGCCCAGTGAGCTTCTTTCCTGCTCCCAGTCCCAGAGTTGGAGAGACCCCAGGATGAGGTCAAAGGCTCCTTCTCTGAATTACAGTGGCTGTGTCCTTTTCCCGTCCATTCTGACACCTGGTGCTTTTCCCCAGCGTCCTTGCTGTTCTCTCCAGTATCTATTCCAGCTTGCACCCCGAGGGAGAGGTCAGACGCTGGGCAGTGACTGAGACCTTTCTTCTCTGGAGAGCACTGACCTGGGAAGTCAGTCCAATGGACTGAGTCTGCCTTTTGTAGCCCGCATGAGACTTTCCTCTGGCCCCCACCCACTCAACTCCAACATAGGTCTGGTGATTGTTGGGAAGATAATCAGTCTCTATTATCTGTCCTGAAGTTCAGCACCTGTCAGGTCAGGAGTGTGTCTTCTTTGGCTTCTACATGGGACACTCTACCTTCCTGGGGATTTTCCCTTTCCTCTTGTGTCTTTCGGGTGCCTGGTGCCGAGACAGTTGCATATTAGGAGGATGTGTGTGTGTGTGTGTGTGTGTGTATGTGTGTGAATTGCCATAGTGAGGAGGAGTGTTGTTGGCGGTCCTGGGTGGAAAGCAGCTCAGTTCAAAGAGAAAAGTTCAGCTTTTCAGAGTGCGGTCAGAAAATCCCCTCACCTCGATTCTAAACAGTTCTGGGACTTCAGTCCTATGGTTGTGGGAGGGGCTTCCTGGTGGAGGAACAAGTGTAACTTGTCCTGACTTCCCTAGAAAGGGTGAGTCCCTCATCAACTAAAACCCAGGATGGTAATCCCTTTCCAGGGCACTGGGGATTACATGATGGATGCTAGTTTTCTGTCAGGCTTTTCTCTTCTTTTGATAACCCCTTTTGAAAACGAGGAGGGAGAAAGCAGTTTTTCGATAGATTTCTTGCTCCTCAGTCAAAAAGTCTAGTTATGTTTTTTTGTCAAGGATTTTTGATTTTTCGCTGTCCCTTTGGTCTCCTGATAAAGCAAAAGGAAGCAGGCTTAAAATGCTGCCCGAAGGATTTAGAAAAGGGCATGATTTCCTGAGGTTCAGGAATGATCAGCGAGAAGATTCTGGATCTCAGAGCCCTTTGCAAACCTCTGTGGGTTTTTTGCTGTGTTGCTTAGTGGCAGTGGAAGGCAGGAACCCAGACCTGGAGCTTTCATAATCACCACCTTCAGCAGATCCTGTTAATTTTAAATAGCCTCTGAATTACTTCATGCGTCAGTTTCCCCACCTGTATCAGGAAGTTGCTTGTTCCTCAAATAGGCAGTAAGGATTATTCAACAAGTCTGTGCAGGTGGTATGTAGGTAAAGGTGTGGCAAAGTCTCTGAGTTCTGGTTCATGCTTCTCGCCAATTATAACATTTGTAATATCCTTATTTACTGGGATTGGGATTTCCCCAGGAATCATGGCCTCGAAAGCCCAGCTGACAGCTCTTAGCAGCAAGGCAGCCACCTCTCCTACCCCAGAACCCCACTCTCTCCCAGAAGGGTGCTTGTTCTCTGCAGGAGTGGCTGACACTGACACCGAACCCCTCGGCCGGCCTCCAGCCTCTTTCTTCTTTGAGGCAACTTCCTGACAAAAAGTTCTTCCTTCGTATCGTGTGCATTTCCGTGTTCAAGGGTGTCTGTGAGAAGCCTAGATGTTTTACTGCTAGTTTTTCCCTCTTCCTTGTTCTTCGGATCCAGCCGTGGGCCAGCAGCTCAGCCTGTTGGCCTGACCCCACAGGGAGACAGGCTAAGCAGGAATGGGGTGGAGTGGAGAGCACCCGGATGCTTTCCACTGCCACTAAATGACCTTCAGGCTGCTGATGCAACCAGTCCCCTACTTTAGGCTGGGGACAATTTCCTGAGTCAGTGGTTCCTATTTGGAAAGAGGGAATTTGCTGGAGCCCTGGAATAGTCCTAGTGAGAGAACTCTCTGCCTTTGCATAGGACATGTTGTAGGGGGTTATTCCAGAAATAGCAAGAATTCCCAACTCAGGGGTGGACTTTGTTCTCTACTTCATCATCAGGAGAGGAGGCTGTGGTCCATATTGGTTTCTAGGACTCCCTCTCCTGCTAGAAGAATTCATCAATAGATCATTATCAGGCCAAGTCTGCCTTGATCAGGGAATGCTTGGTTCTGTGATCTCATTTGAGGTCCTGAAGTCCTTGAAGTTCGTAGCAGGTAACCTTGTAGGAGCTTTCCGCTGCTGTTGACCATGTGGAGAAGTGAAAGGTGAGCAACCAAAGCTATGGAGATGTAAGATCCCTGTCCTGAGACTGGCGAGGTTCCAGGATCCACAGTCTGATGCTATCAGGCGTTCCTCAGGGCGGTGAGGTTGTAAATAAACTCGCTGTGAAGTCTGCAGTCCAGAGTTACAAGCCCTCAGCCCAGAAGCAGCTGGTCCTTGGAGGTGTTTGCTCATGACCTTTTCTTTCACCACACCCTGGGGCTTTTGGGAGGAGCCTGGAGCTGCGTTGCAGTGCCAGGATGCTGCCGCTCTCATGCCCACGTTCAGCTGCCTCCTGGGTCGCGTGACATCTTTCTTGTTCAACCACGGGGTGCACAGGATGGGAACTGTTCTCCCCTCTTTGGAAGCTAGCGTGTGGCTCATCTTTAGAGAGTTGTGGCTGGAGACCAAAGCAGTGGCCTCTCTGTAGCCAGCCTGTGCTGGGGGAAAGGGGAGCCCACTCCATGTCCTGAAGGCCCGGGGAGATGGAAGGACGAGCGGTCGGCCGAGCACTAAGGCGCTTCCGAAATCGACTGCCTCGACTCCGACACCGAGCAGGTCAGGACTGGCTTGTCCACTTCCTATTTTTTCAGCAGAACCCTTTTAAATGGGACTGTTCCTTTCTTGAAGTGCTCCTTCCTCTTTTTCCTTCAGATGTTGACCTCCACATGTCCCCCCATGTGGCTGGGCCATGAGGTTTTCCCTGCAGTTTTGCAGAGCTGATTGTGCCCTCTGTGGTGGATGGTGTGATCACAGTCATATGCCCCTTGGGCCTGTCCTGCTCATGTAGTACAAGTTCACTCAGGGTTTGCTGTTCCTGGACTCCTCCGGTAGGCAGAGACTCTGTGGTTCCCCAGGGGATAGGGTCTCCATGAACCTGTCCAGTATGTTTCCTCAGCTTCTACCTCGGTGATTTCTCTCCTTCTCTTGGCTTATCCCAGTTTTAAACCTCCCAGGGCGTGTGTGGAAACTGCCCACTTGGCTTTGGTTTTGTTTGCTGACCAGCAGTGCCGGCCAGGCTCAGGTGTCTCAGCGTGGGCAGGGCAGCCTGGAGCCCTGCAGGTTGCCCACATTCTCACAGACTCCACAGAATGGATCAAAGAGATCCTGAACGGATGGCACTATCTTGGTTTCAGGATCTCCCCGGGACAATCTAGGGGAAGCTGTAAACGAACCAGAAAGGACTCAAGAGAACTCTCTGCCCAGCTTTGCTGGGGGGCAGCATTTCTTTGAATATCTTCTGGTGGTTTCTCTTAAAAAAAAGCGCTCAGGAGACGACTATGAACCCACCATCACCTACCAGTTTCCCAAGGTAAGGACTGAAGGAGGGGGTGGGGGCCGAGAATGGGGGTTCCACTCCTTCCCCTCTCCCTGCCGGGGCTGGAGCTCTGGGTGTGCTGCTCTTATTTCCTTCTTAGCCCAGCCCTAGTTTTCTGTTATCACCCAGAGAATCTAGGTCTGCTTGCTTCTTTGAGGCCGAGGCTCCCTAGAAGGGAAGCTAGACTAGAGCTCTTGCCCCTTTTGGGACCTCAGAGTTTGCCCAGATTCCATCCTCAGTCACCTTTCTCCATAGGGAAGCTTACCTTCTGCCATGCCTTCTAGAAGGAGTCCCCTCCTGCTCTGTGGGAAGGAGAGGGCAGGGCAGCACAGAGTTAGTGGGTAGGCCGGGGACTGCACCGCAGCCCAAGCATCAGGTTCCTTCTTGTCTGATGCTGCACTTGGGCAAGAGGTGAAATAGGGCATCTTTCTGGTTAACCCCTCTCGTTAGCAGGTGCAGCGACTGAGTTGGCCGCTTCTCTTTTCTGATGTGGTATCTCTCTGACATCACCCTCCCAGGGGCTGGGTCAGCTCAGGGCCTTTCAGTATGCAGTGTGGCCCCTGATCTGCTTCTTAACTATGTAGATCCTCAAGATACCAAAGTCCAACCCACACTCACGTCAATGGGGCCCAGAAGGACCTCTCTTGCTAGACCCAGAATTCAGACAGAGGTGCCCTTTGACCCCCCACGTGGAAAAGCATATTCCGAGATAGTTTTAAAGCCTCAAAAGCCTGCTATCCTTCCTGCCCTCACAATCCCTTCCTTTCTTTTTCTTACAGCGGGAGAATCTGCTTCGAGGGCAGCAGGAGGAGGAGGAGCGGCTTCTCAAAGCCATCCCCTTGTTCTGCTTCCCAGATGGGAATGAGTGGGCACCACTCACCGAATATCCCAGGTAACTGCTCCACCCTGGAGTATCAGATTGGGAAAGAAGGGGCAAGTGTGGGCCACGTGTGTCTCCTGTGGTCCCCTCCCCTGGTGTACATGCCGGATTTCCTGCCACAGGGTGGAGTTGATTCATTTATAAACATCTTGCCTGTGGGCCCTTAAGGCCAAGCATCTAGCTGTGGTTCTACCTCTGTCCAAAGATGGCTGGAATTCTCAGATGTCCGAGGAGCAATAATTGTATTTGACTCTGCTACTGGTGGAAACTGGACTGGACAGGAGGCCTGTGGCCTCTATGAAGGCAACATAGTAAAGACCCTTATGACATCAGCCCTGGAAGTTGACTCCCTGGGTTTGAATTTGGCTTTACCACTTACGAGTCTGCCTTCAATACATACCTTTACAGGTGGGGTGTGGTGGTACATGCCTGTAATCTCAGGGACCTGGGGAGGAGTCTGAGGCAGGAGGATTGCAAATTTACAGTCAGCCTCAGCAAACTAGCAAGACCCTGTCTGAAAATAAAAAAAAATAAAAAGAACCGGGGATGTGACTCTGTGGTAAAGTGCCCTGGGTTCACACCCCAGTACCAAAAATAAGTAAAGCAAGCAAGCAATATCCTCTCACCCTCTCAGAGCCTCAGTCCTTCATCTTTAAAGTGGAAATAATAATCAAACCTACCTCAAAAGATTTCTTTGAGGATCCGATGAGGTGATGCATTTAGGGCTTGACACCAATAAGCATTTAATAAATTACCGGGGTTATTACTAACATGATTATTCATCAGCTCCCTTTTGACCTCCTTTTAGAATCTAGTGAGTAATGCAAACCAAGTCTTGTTTGCTCTTCTTGCAGGGAGACTTTCTCCTTTGTCCTGACCAATGTGGACGGCAGCAGGAAGATTGGATACTGCAGGCGCCTCTTGGTCTGTGTGGCCCAGCACTGCCCCCTCCTATCTGCAGCCTGCTCAGCTCCACAGCTGGGCTTGCTCAAGCTTCAGCTGCAAAAGCTCAGGCTCCCTGCAGTGGTGGTTGTAGGGACTCAGCCCAGAACTTGCTATTCTGCTAATGTCCCTTCTGCAGCCCCATGAGAGGGAGGACATCGCACTCCTTCTTTCTCACCTGTGATACCTTTGCTGGCCAGGTTCTGGTCTGTGCTCTTCCTAGCTTTTAATAGCTCCGTGCATTGTGAGAGGCTCCACTTGACTCCTCTCCCTGTCTTCTTATCCAGACCTGCTTGCCTTGGCCCCAGGAGTCCCCCAGAGCAGAGGCTGGAATTTGAACAACTAGGTCCACTTCTTGGGTCTCCACGATTCTCTGCAAGCACCTTGACAGTGCTGTCCTACTTAGCCATTTCCTCATCTCTAAGACGTGCTTGCTCCCTCGCTTTGCTGACCTTCAGATTGTGTTGGCCCTGAAGGCAGCGGGGCTTGTCTATGAACCTCAGCTCCCTGAAGGCCATCTTCTTTTGACCTTGGTGACCATTCTGACCTCCCAGCTGCCTGTCCCATGAATGGAACCACTGCCTAGCCAGGCCTTTCTCCATCCAGCCCATAAGTCCCCATTTACCCCCATCCCCAGCACTCAGCCCTGAGCTCCTCAGCCCCAGGTGGGAGAAACTACTGGGAAGGCTGCAGCACTGAAGATGCCTCTTGTCTCTCCCCAGCCCGCCGGCCCCGGCCCTCGACTTCCCAAAGTGTACTGCATCATCAGCTGCATTGGCTGCTTCGGCTTGTTCTCCAAGGTAGGGGTGGAACAGGATTCCTCAGGGCCTGTTAGGCCTGTTCAGCTTCTAGGCTTGGTCTGGCTTCTCGCCCTTCCTGTGCAACTTGTGTCCTGAGTGGACCTCCTTCCCCGTAGCCAGGCCTTCATCAAGGACATTTGGGGACACTGAAGCAGAGAGGGGCTTGGGCCTAACTTGATTTTAGGAAAATCTGGAGGATTATTTCCCCTGCAGAGAGAGCACCACTGCTACAACTCCAGTCAAGTCAGAAAGCAGTTGAAGCAGGATAAGGGGAAGAGCCTCAGGAGTCTTCTGCCCTGAATTCCAGTTTCCTCCTCTGTCCAGTGGATCTAATGGTCCTTCAGCTTCCTCTCCCCTGGGCTGCGATGAGAAGTCTCTTTATGAACAAATAGGAAGGTAGTCATCATACAGTAGGGGCCCCAAGCCTTGCTCTAACCCCTTTAAGGGTAGAACTTGAGGTGCCCAGGTCTTGTGCTGCTGGATTGATTGGAGCCTCAGCACACTGAGTCAGGATCAGAGAGGAGCCGTCAGAGTGGACATGTCTCAGTGGCTGTAAAGGGCTTCTTAGTGCTCTGCCCCAGCAAGACTCCTGGGGGACCAGGGCAGGACCTCCGTCAGCTTTGCTTGGGCGGAACTTCATCTGAGCAGTGTTCTGAGGGCTGGAAGCAGTTCCTGACCCTGACTTTGGAGAGTCTCCAGTGGAACTGGAGGTCAGAGTGACACTCAAGAGGTCACTGGATCCATTCCAGGCACTGCTGTCATGGATGCAGAGTACTCTGGCGTGGCTTTCTGGGGCCTGTCGTTTTATATTAGTGTGGGAAGGGAGGCATATGGCTTGGTAGAGAGAATGAAAAGAAGGCTAGGACATATCTGGTCTTGTTCAGAAGATAATGAGAGCAGATGATTGAGCCTGAGAGCAAGGGAGGGAAAGAGCCAGTTGGTGGAGGGGCCTCGAAGGTGCATGAGACTAAGTTGAAGCAGCGTGAGCACCTCAGGATGATCAGTGGCATCCCTCTGAGCCTTGTCTCTTGTGGCCCTTTCTTGTGGCAGATCCTGGATGAAGTAGAAAAGAGGCATCAGATCTCCATGGCTGTCATCTACCCATTCATGCAGGGCCTCCGAGAGGCAGCCTTCCCTGCACCTGGAAAAACTGTCACCCTCAAGAGCTTCATCCCTGACTCTGGCACAGAGGTGAGCTAGCAAATGGGTGAAAGCCCCCTGGCTGGAGAGGGTAGGCTTCTGTGGCACCTCTCACTACTCTTCTTCTACTCACCAGGTTAACGTACAGAGAAACTGAGCCAGGCAGGGACTGGAACTTGGTTAGAATTAATGGCAGAGCTGACAATCAAACTCACATTTGCTGAGCCTTCCAACCTGATACCCCAAAGCACCTAGTTATTGTTCAAGCCACTGAGATCAGTAAAACATGTAAATTGAGGGTTTTGGTGCTAGAAAGGACTTTGTCCCCAGTCCCCAAAGGGCTGCTTGCATAGAACACCTCCCTTTTATTCTGTGTGTCTGTCCTGTATTTCTGTCTTACCTGTAGCCCCCACCCGCCTATTTCTTATCGCCCATCCCCATCCCTGAGTCCATCCCCCACCATGGTATGTGGGGATGCTGTTGTTCTAAGGCACAAAACAGACTGAGGCAGCAAGTGGGACAGAATTCTAGTCCTGACCCCTGGGATTCTAGTCCAGAGCCATGGAGGGTCTATGTGCCCCTCTAAACTTTGTCTTCCCCATGGAAGAATATGGAAGCATCTAGGATTATTCATTGACTTGAAAAATAAGTACTCAATGATTTCTGTGTGCCAATATGTACTATTTTCTGCATACCCAGTGGTGACCAAAATGAATGTGGTCCCTTACCGCGATGGAGCTAAAAGCCTGATAGGGAAGACAGACATTAAATAAGCAAACTATCAACGAATATATAATTAAAAAGTGTATCATCTCAAAGAAAATCCAGGGCGTTACATGAGAAAAAGATGATGAAGTAATTGGTGGTCAAGGTGGGCCTCTGAGGCCTGATAGAAGGTAAAAGCCATGTGGGGCAAGGGAGGACCAACCTGTGAAGGGCTTCAGGTGGGAGAGCATGGTCTGCTCCTGAGAATCAGGTAGACAGGTGTGAAGTATGTTGAGAGGGGTGCATGCTCAAGGCAGGACCTCATGTGCCATGTTGAAGATTAGGTCATGCCATCCTTAGAGCAGAGCAACCCCCCCTGTGGGTTTTTTATAGGGGCAAAGAGACAGGATCAGATTTCTCCAGTGGGAAGCATGGAGTAGGGCTGGTAGCGGCCCAGCTTTCTGGGGTCTGAGGGCTCTTGCAATGTAATGACTCCTCCCCTCTGGTTTTCCCACAGTACATCTCACTGACCCGGCCCCTGGACTCCCACCTCGAACACGTGGATTTTAGTTCCCTGTTGCACTGTCTTCGTTTTGAACAGATTATTCAGATCTTTGCCTCTGCAGTGTTGGAGAGAAAGATCATCTTCCTGGCAGAAGGTCTCAGGTGGGCTCAGTCACTGGATGGTCTGCATCCCTCGGCCACGGGAACAGACTAGAGGTTCTCAAAGGAAGTCAGACTGTAGGATCTGTGTGTCCACTCTCCTGATTCCTGTTCTTGAATCCTCATTTTAGATGTAGAAAAACATCTATTGCAACTCCCCTGCCCTGTCTCCAAACTCAGTTATATCCTGGGCTTGAAGCAGGACACTGAACTGTCCTTGTTCCTGAGACAGCCTAGGCAAGACCAGTTAGGGTGAATGCAGGCATGATTGTGCCTTTGCAAGGCTGAGTGAGGAGAAGGGGTGGAGAATAGTCCAGGAGGGCATCTGATGCTATGAAGGATAAGCCTATCTACCCATTGATTCACTCATTCAACAAACGTTTATTGTGTGTCAGCTGTTTGCCAGATAAAAGCATTGGGAAGATACCAACAAGACATCATCTTTGCTTTAAAAAAACTCTTCTAGGACATGGTTCTTGACCTTAAGGGGTTGCAGGATTGCGTAGTGGTTGAAAGCATTGGTATTGAAATCAGCAGATGAGTTTCAAATCCTGTTTTCCATCTGCAGCTATGAGGGTCCCCCCAGGTCCCCATCTTAACTTCTTGAAGACATGATGTTCTTTTCTGTAGAATGGGAAATGATTGTACCTAGCCACAGGGTTGTGTAAAGAATGAAAGGAAATATTCACATTATAAGCATCTAGCCCCAGGCCAGGGACATATTGATGAGGATTATCTGCTATTAAGAAGTTCACAGTTAAGGATTTCCCTGTGTGTAGTCAAAGCAGGGCACGGTCACATCTTGATTTCTACTTCCGAAAGGCTTCATGTCTAAAAAGTACATGGGAGACATGTGACAGATGAAGAAGAAAAAAAAAATCATAAAATAGTAGGGTTTAACCTTCTATTTATATCTGGGCAGAGGGTGGGGGAACAGATCAATGTCACTGAGCTGACAGCCCTTGTTCTAACTTTTAGGGAAGAAGAGGAGGATGTTAGAGAAATAACAGAGGTCAGAGGTCTAGATGAATGTCATGGGTTTCAGAGGAGAGGAAGCTTGGGTAGGGGTTGGGATTTGTGTGTTGAAATTCAAAAGAAAATCAGTGACAACTAAAGAGGAACTAGAATTAGTTTAATCCTTGTGGGAAAGACATCATCTTTGCTTTAAAAAAAGCTCTTCTAGGACTGGGGTAGTAGCTCAGTGGTAAAGCGCTTGCCTAGCATGTGTGAGGCACTGGGATTGATTCTCAGCACCGCATACAAATACAGGGTCCATCAACAACTAAAAAAATATTAAACAAACAAAAAGCTCTTCCACTCCTAGGTCTGTGTAGAAAGAAGTTTCTGTGGTGGCTGGGGCTGGGGTTCTGGTCTTCCCCTCAGATCAGTGTTTGGGAAGCGAAGGGGGAAGGAGTGAACCTTCTCCAGGGAGATACCACCACTCCCCACTTCCTTCCCATGTGGAGTTTTCAGGCTCCTGAGGCTCGCACTGGGAGGGGACTTCCAGTCAGCCAGAGTTGTAGCTGCACGCTCAGAGAGTCAAACCTTTCTTACTCAGGAAGTGCTAGCTTGATACCAAGAATTGAAACAAGGTTTCCGCATCTGTGTTTTTATTGGCCTTGGCTTTGGGGCAATTTGGCTGGAGGAATGAAGAGTCGTGGAAGCTGCTAAATAGAAGCCAGAGTGTGCATGTGTGCGTGCCTGGGGGGGCGAGGAGAAGGCTGACTGTGCTTGGGCAGGAATGACATGAGGGATGCTTTCTTGCATAGCTTAGAGGAGCCACCTCTGTGGGACTTTCCATGTAGGAATTGCTGAGCCAGAGGTTCCTGGAATCTAGGAATTTCCCAAGCTAACTCGGGCACCAACCTGGTAGCTTTCAATGCCCTCAAGTGGCCAGGGTGAGCCATGTGAGGTCAGGGTGGGGGATGAAGGTTTATAGACACTAGGAGAAAAGGCTTTGCTCTGCACTGAGGCCCAGGTGGACAGTTTGTCTCTTTACTCCACTGTGAGTTCCTTAAAAGCAGGCCCAGTGTCTTACTCTTCCTGGTATCTGCATCATCTTCAGCACTGCTGTCGGCACACATTGGTGGCTCTGTCACTTCTCTGTTTGAATGAAGACATCCCTTCTTCTCTCCCCACTTCTGAGCCATTTTTATTTTGGACCAGTAATGAGATGACTAATTGGGAAATGAAAGATCAAATAGATGTCCCACCCTGGGTTAGTGGAGCCTGTGGCTCCTTAGTGCAGAGAGGAAACCTCTCCTGGTTTTTGCCCTTCTCCTGGCAACAAGTGGTGACAAGCTCTGTGATCTGCATGGCTCCCAGACTTGCCTTTTTGCACAGGTGCAGGAAGGACTTGTAGTAGCTGCTGTGGGTGCATGGCAACGAGAGGGTGTGTAGGGCGGAGGTGCAGGGTCCTCTCTGACTCTCCTCTCTGTGCTCCATCCCAGTACCTTGTCTCAGTGCATCCATGCTGCTGCTGCGCTGCTGTACCCCTTCAGCTGGGCACACACCTACATCCCTGTTGTGCCCGAGAGCCTTCTGGCCACCGTCTGCTGCCCCACTCCCTTCATGGTTGGAGTACAAATGCGCTTTCAGCAGGAAGTTATGGACAGCCCCATGGAAGAGGTATGCTGCAGCCAGAAGAGTACGTGATTTGGAGCCAGGTAGACCTGGATTTGGATCCCGGTTCTGCTACTTACAGCTATATGATTTGGGGCAAGTGACTTACTCTGTAAAATGGGGACAAGTGTTCAGTTCCTAGGGATTCTGGGGGAAATTTCCTTTATAAACCTTCTAGTCCGGTGCCTGCCACACAGTTGATGCTCATTAAGTGTTGGCTGTCTTCTCCTGAATGATTTCTCTTGTGTTTAAGAGGCAGCATGTAGCTTATTCGGAGGTCATGAGACTGTCCTGTACCAGCTGGCCCTAATGAGCAATCTCTGGGGTGTCCCATCTCTCAGTGGAGTGGATGATCCCAGCTGGTCTATACAACACACACCCCACTGGGATTCACTCAAATTCCTTGGAAATGAGCCTTCCTGCAAACTATGTGTCTTGAGAATGCCAATTTCTACAACAAGCACCATCTTTCTGAGTGGCTCAGAGCTTAGTTGGTTTTTGAGGCTATAGATTCAAATCCCGTTTTAGTTTTTTAGTTTCTTATTTTTTGGAAGTGCCGCTGACATGGCAGAGGGCTCAATTGTGGAAAAGGACACTAATCACATAAATCTCTAATAGTTAGAAAATCAACTGAAAACATGTCCTGTTTTGAGTTGTCTGTTATAACTTCAAAGATGGCATGTTACTGTTATCTGAAAGCAGAAGAACTATTTGGGAATGACTGTCCTGGCTCTACGCAGAGAGAGGGCTACCCAGGGGAGAGGAGTCTAGAAGGAAGCTACTTGAACAGGCCCCCAAGCCAGCCCTAGTGGGAGGATTTCCCCCATTTTGCGTAAGAGATAGCTAAGGTGCACAGAACCCTGAGCTGAGGCCACACAGGCAGCAGCAGATCCCTGCACAGATGGGAAGCTGAGAAGCAGGCTGCATTTCCCTTCGTCTCTCCCCCAGCTCTCCCACCCTCCTCAGAACTGCTGACTGTGTACACATGCCCTTTGAACCACCCTTAGCCTTGTGACTAACTGGGACAGAGTATTAGCCCTGTGTTTGGCAATGAAACTTAAACTGTCCCAACCCTAGAAGTTATGAAACTTCCTGACTCTGCAGCTCCAGCTCCTCGGAAGCTGTAGCTCCTCGGAAGCTGTAGCTCCTCCCTTCATGACCCAGAGGGAAGATATCTGAGAGCCAATGGACTCCACTCCTACTAGCCAAGAGCCTTGGCTTGTTTCATTCCTCAGCATCTGCTCAGAGAAATGGGCAGAGGGTGTGGAAGGAGGAGGGCAATGTGGCCAGAGTGTGTGTGTGGATCCCCTAACTCCCCACATAGCTCTAGGGAAGGAGTTAGTCCACAGACACCAATGTGCCCAAATACTGAAAGAACTTCTAGGAGCAACTTTGAAAAAGAATTCTTCATACATACTCTTTCCCTCCAACCCCCCGCAAATGAACAGCTTTTCCTGCCGAAGGCATCTTAGCCTTTGTATACAAGTAGTTTCAGGCCTGGACTAGTTCAGCTTTTCTCCCCTGATGATGGATAATTACAGTGCAGGCTGTTTTTTTGGTATACTTCTCAGTCCCTCTCTTATATTTGGAAGAAGGGAAGATCCTTCACCCTCCTGTTAAGACCAAGATCAAAAACTAAAAAGAGGGACCCAGCACAGGCCCCTAATGCCCAACACAGGATTTGGGGCTGGTATACTGGTGACTGCATATCCTGCCCAAAGAGGGCAGCTGCATGTTGCCCTTTAAAACATGGATCAGTATTAGAGGGCCTGACATTTTAGGAAGAGCCCCAAATCCAAATTTCAAGCAAAATATTCCAATTTAAATATCAGGAACTAATCCATTTATTTTAAAATACTCTGAATCTAACAGATCTTCTAGTTGGAATCAGGCAGCAGCATGCCGGTTTATAGTTTCTCATCTCCATTGTAGGCCCCTCAGGCTGAGATGGAGCTGGTTCTGGAACTACAGTCCCCCATATTCCAGCCCTGTGCTTGACTTACCTGTGGTTTGTAGGCACATTGTCTCCTCATTCCTTTCCATGCTGTGTCTTTTTTTTTTTTTTTTTTTTTGCTGATAGGCTCAAAGCTCCTAGATTGTTATTATTTTTAAATAGAACCTCAGGCAACTGTACATAAAGTTGCTGCAAGCATTAAAAGATGGAAACACGTCCACTTTGGTCCTTAGGCTGACAAGTGGAAGGCGAGTGTAGAGAGAGGAATGTAATCCCAAGGACAGCACAGTTTAGGCTCTGAAAGGGTCCTGCTGTTTGTCAGCAGTATGTCCTCTAGCGACTGAACTTCTTTAGATGTTTCCTTATTTGCAAATGGAAGTAGTACCTGCCTCACAAGACTGTTGCCAGGTTTAAATGCGAAAATGTGCAAAGTGCTTATCATGTATGCCAGGTACTAAAGGCTCTATAATAAGAGCAATTACTATTATCAGTGTTTTATTTCAGGCAGTTACTGGCTAGGATTTCCCCATATCATACCCCCTTCTACCTGGGCTCTTTCCCTTACCTCTTTCTACATGCTCACTCTTTCCCTAGGAAGGAAACAGATTCTCGAGGAAAGTGGTAAGGAAGGAGAATGCCAGGCAGGAAATGAGATTTGGAGATGCTGATTTCATGGTCCTCTAGGCCTAAAGATCTAATAGCCAGAGTCAGAAATGCAGATGGTAAGTCCTCCTATGGTTTGTGAAGGAATAAAACCATTCTGTTTCTTTCAGGTCTTGCTGGTGAATCTTTGTGAAGGAACCTTCTTATTATCGGTAAGCATCTGAGTTCTGAGTCCTTGCAGACCCACCACCAATGCAGCCACTCTAGCCTCATGGGGTTTTCCCTATTTTGACGAACATTTGAGTGAGAACTCCTGGTATTAAGACCTCCTTGCTCTTGAGGAAGTCCTATAGACACTGACCACTTCATTACCAGGTGATCAATGCTCGTACCTCAAGTAATGTATATAAACCAAGTACTACAGAAATGGAGGGGATCCCCTGCTAATGTTTTGAGCCAAACTGAAGATGAAGAAACAGCTCTGTTGTTTCTCTACGTGAGCGATTATTTGGGGGTGGAGCAAGGGTGTGGAATTCATGCTCCCCTCATGGTCTTCTGCTACCTCCTTCCTTCCGTACCTCCTCTTTGTTGGAACTCTGAGCTGACTATCCTCTTCCAGGTTGGAGATGAAAAAGATATCCTGCCACCAAAGCTTCAAGAGGACATCTTAGTCTCTCTTGATCAGGGGATCAGTGACTTGAGTAAGTCCTCTTATTTTGTGGTTGTTCAAGGAGTTTGAGGGCAATTATTCCCCTTCAGAACTAAAATATACTCATTCAGCAGCCCTGGGCCAGCCTCAGAGGCCTAAATCTTGAAGCAAGTTGGAATATGAGATTTTTCCTAAGCAACGGCAGAGAACCCACACCCGAGCTCTCGTCTCAATCTATCAGTTGGTATCATGAACTCCTGTCCCCCTGCTTTCCCTAGACACTGTTGGCCTGAAATGAAAGTTGTCCTTAGAGGTGAGATGAGTAACTTTATCCTCTGCCACCCTCTAAGATGGTCATTGTATATCTCTGACAGCTTCAGAACAAATCAACGAACATGTTTCAGGCCCTTTTGTGAAGTTCTTTGTCAAGACTGTGGGTCACTATGCTTCCTATATCAAACGGGAGGCAAACGGGCAAGGCCATTTCCAAGAACGGTCCTTCTGTAAGGCTGTGTCCTCTAAGACCAACCGTCGATTTGTGAAGAAGTTTGTGAAGACACAGCTCTTCTCCCTTTTCATCCAGGAAGCTGAGAAGAGCAAGAATCCTCCTGCAGGTACAGTGACAGCCCCCACTAGCCTTATTTCAAACAGAGGTCACCTTTAGGATACAGAGGAGGGGGTGGAAGAATATTTCTTTCTAGAGGCCCATAGAAGAGCTGTAAAGTTTATTAGTGGGCTTGGAAGGAAGGAATCTGAAACCTAAGAAAATGCCTCATTAGCTGATATTAAAAAGTTGGTTTGTGGTGTATGTAGTATGGGGTGCAGAGGGTATTTCTCATTTGTACTCCTGAGTTCATCAGTCTGCCTGATCATGTTAGATGCCTAACATCTATATCTGAACCCACAGGCTATTTCCAACAAAAAATACTTGAATATGAAGAACAGAAGAAACAGAAGAAATCAAGGGAAAAGACTGTGAAATAAGAGCGTGGTGAACAGGAATGACTTGACTTACAAGCCAGTTCTGGACTTTGGCCCCTGCCAGAGTGGTGGGATCAGCAAAGCTCAGCTCCCAGAACCCATGGCCTTCTCCAGAGTCCTGGTGTCCAGGTCTTGCTTCATACTGGTATCTGAGTTTGGGATCACAGGTGTGAGCTTCCTTGGGACTTTTTGGGGGCTCAGACCCCAAGCTCACAGAACTGGACTCAAAGCTGCCTTTTTTGCAGAGGTGACACAGAGTGGGAAACTGTAGTACAAGTGTTGTAGGTGCTTGGTTACAAGTTACTGCAACTGATGTCTCCTGGGAACCACCACTACAAAATCCTCTGCAGAGCTGAAAGAAGTTGTGGCCCAAAGGCTCAGCTCCTCCACATAAAAACAGAGGTCTATGGACATATGAGGATAATAAAGGCGAGAATCTCATTGTTTACATGTGTGTCAATGTGTAAGATAATACATGTGAGAATAAACTGGAGTAGAAGAGGAGGCCTTGGTCATGGTGGGCTATGATTAGAGTCATAGAGTCACAGGGGTCAAGCAGAACTCCACTTACTAAAAGGATAAGAGATCCTGGTAAAAGCAGTAGCAGCGCCAGACACAGGGCAGGAGAGTACAGAGCAGCTTGAGTGGGGAATCTCAAGTCAACAGAAGTCACTACCTGGCTTCCATAAATACATATGCCTGCCCATCACTCCCTGATTGGACTAGTACTTTACCTGCAGTTTTAGATATCCCACTTCCAACTGCTTGTTGTTTTGAGAAGCCCAGTTTGATTCTTTGGCTAAAGGTAGAGGGATCCCTGTATTGACATTTTTTTCTTTTTGGGAAAACAGAATCATAACTGCAAGAGTCTAAGGAGTTTAGTGGTTACTTAGTCCCTCTTCCCTCTATACCTCTACTGACAGCTTCTGTTTAAACATTGCAAGAGATGGGAAACATTTTTAGAAGCATCTTGTCTTTCAAAAATTTTACCTCTTTTATTTGAGTGTGGCCCTCAGAGTCTCTGAATTTTATAAAGAATACAAATGTTTTGTAGGGTTGAAAAGGGTCAGGGGGGCTTCCAAATTGAAGTTAAAGCCAATATAAATTGATCTGGAGAACACAGAGACACTACTGCAGGTGTTCCACTGTCCACACCGTGCCAACTATGTTGCTGTTCTTCACAGCTTCTAAGAATCACAACATCTTTTTAGGCAGTTTATGGCCTCTGTTCCTAAACTTAGTTGTACCTCAAAAGGTTTCAGAGCAGGGACCAGAATCCTGGGAAGCTCATGAGAATACTGAGGCTCCATCCTAAATCTACCAAAACGTCCTTAGAGATAAGATCTGGAAATCTACATATTTTTTAAAAAGGTGCTTCAAGTGATTTTAGTACTCCACTAGATAAATCAACATAATAATCAGAACCAGTGGAACTATACAAATGTACCCTTGAAAATGATATCTAGGGCTGAAGCACACACTGCATCTGAGTGCTTCTCAGATTCCCTTTATGCTGAAAAAAGACTCTAGGATATACATTTCAATTAGCCCTCAACATCTCAATTTACAGATTTAGCTCACTAAAATCCAGTGTGGTGTAGGAGAAAACACTGAACCAGTATTCAGAAGACATGGATTCTAGTCTCCATTCTAAAGGATATCAATACTGTGTGCCATTGGTATGGCAGTTAGGCTCGCCAGGTGATTAATGCCTCCCAGGTGATGAATGCCTGCTGTGCCTGTTGTGATAATCAACTAAGACAACAGATGCAACTGTTGAACAAGAGTTATCCTCCTTTTTCCTGCTTTGTCCTAGCTTTCAAAACTTTGCTGTGTCCCAGCACATTCCTATATGTGTTTCTCTATCCCAGATGTTGGAGAAGTTACTAACAAACAAAGGTAATAAAAGAGATTTCATTTCCTATTACGGTTTAGGAAAGAAATTCAAGGTTTAACTCATCTTGCTAATCCAGATCTACACTGGACTGATGGACTCATGAAGAGTGCAAGAAAGTGCAGTTCTGGCTGCCAGGGAAGGCAGTGCAGCTACTGCTTATTCTGGATTATGGAACAAGGTATAAATAAAAGTCAATAATAAGATAGTTTATTTTAACCCTAAAATGCTTCTGCTGTCTCTCTCTTCATTCAAGCAACTGAACACCTATACAAATGAAAATAGATCTGGTTCACAAGGACACTTAGTTCCTATTTCAAATTGTAGTATAAACACGGAAAAGGAGTGTGCCAGAAAAGAAGAGTGCAAAATGACCCCTTAGAGAGAACCCAGGCAATTACTGAAAATGTAGGGGAAAGGACTCAAGATTCCCAAATGACCCATAATCACAAGGGTAAGGGAACAACTATAACACAACGAACCCATCAAGAGGGAAGATGAACACTGTTCATCTTTTATAAGTTAAATAGTTTCTATAAGATAGGTCGGTCATGGGACATAGTATGACAACACAGCTGACCAAATTTCCTTATTTATTAAAGAACAGGAATAAATTTTCCTTATATTTTAAAAAATGACATTAAACTTAGTTTATCTCCCCCACTGAGAAAAAGCTGGCTTTTAGATCATTTATTTATTTAAAAAAATAAAATGGATCGACAAAGTTACCACATTATTCTGCATGCTAATAGGATTTCCCAAGCCCACAAGAGATACCATTTCTTGAGCAATAAAAAAATTACATCCTCAACAATGTGAAGATAGGAAACCTTTCAACCCAAATTCCAGGTCTTTATCACTCATTTCACCTCACAAGCTAGTGGGATGTATCTGTGTCACAAGCTGAGCTCTTTAGTAAAGAAAGCTTGAGAAGACATAAACAAGGGTGTTACTAAAAGATGATAATTTGTTAAAATTATAAAACAACCATCTTTTGGCCTGCAAATATTCTACATTAGAAATCTCCTTCACTGGGGACCTGCTCCCCGTGACAATATTATTCTGAATCCAGGATAATTACAAACACATGGCATTTTTTCCTGCATGCTTTCTTGGGCCAAACCCTGTATGATGACATGTACAATTTACAGGATGGGACTTGAAATTCCCATTCTCACACAGGATAGTTAGGGAGTGTTACCAGTAACAAAGAATAAAAGTTACATAACATTGATTATAAATTATATTTGTTCTTATTCACCCCCATTCTTCTTAATATGTTCAGATTCTTTCCTGCAGAAAACATGAGTTTCCTATATAACACCAACTAATTAATGATGATTAGAATGAGCTGTAGAGACCTTGATTCTGAAGACATGTATGTGCAGGTGAGACGCAATCTGATTGCAAACACTGACACAGTAGCGGATCAAATCAAAGAAAGACAAGACCTGGAAAGAAAAGGGACTGTTAGATTCTCAGCACCTGCTTAGGTAATCTCTACATTTCCCCAAAGGAAAGGAGTGGCATCTTACTTCTCTCTTCAAATTCACCATCAATTCTATATAATTTTGTAACTCAGTCTCTCCATGCTTTCTCCTTTCCACTAAAGATCAATAAACTCTTAGAGAGACAGTAAATATTTTAAATTTTGTCTTTGTCCAAACTCTTCCACTCTGCCACTATAGCATGAAAGCAGCCACAGACAATACAGAAAGGAACGGCTGTGGCTTGGGTAAACAGGTTAAGGGCCTACAGGGTATAGTTTGAATTTCTGATTTACATGGTCATAAATTTGGAATTTATGAGTCCTAATGTAGGAAGAACTAATAAAAATAATGCAAAACAAAGAAACAAAAACCTCAAATACAAAGTCACAAGGAACTTCCACACTGCCTTATATATGTGATTTGTGGATTTCTGGCATTCCCATTCATAATTCTATGATTCTATAAATTAGGACTGGCTCATTAAAAACAAACAAACAAGGAGTACCAAATCATGAAATAAGATAGCAGAATACCTACCAAGGCAATCCAAAGTACAATATACTCATCAATAAAGCTGTTAAAATACTGGTCCAGAAACAAAAGTGCTGGACCTATGAAAGCTGTATCATGCAAATGCATTTCACTTTTCGTCATGTGTGCAACCTATGAATAGAATAAAATTAATGATGTAGGCATTTTCATATTAAAGCAACTGGGAGCAACATGGTAAATCAGTGTTGTATTCACACAGAGTTTCAAGAATTATTCAGCAATAGTTGTTGAGTTTCCAACACTAAAAACTCAATAATCTGATGTGTGAAAGGGACACATCATGTCAAACTAAGCTTGCAAATGCTTTCTCCAAAGAGCCTTAATTTGAGTGTCCAGATTGAAGACAATATACTACAGAGTGCAGATAAACTGAACAACCAAATTATAAGAGTGCATAAAATGGTGAAAAATTCTAGGGGTTCTAAGAACTTCTGGTAATCTCAAACTGCAGCTTTACAAAAGACTAAAAATAGCTTCCATAATGATTTCAAAAGATTTTTATTGTAAACCCTAGTCTGTTTAGGAAGCTATAAAATAAAAACAAGGACCATAAAACCAAAATAAGATGAAAGTTAAAAACAAAACAAGTAGAGTTGAGGTGCTTACCACAAGCTTATTTGTGATTTTAGCTGATACAAAACCAAATGTCAGTATATAAAGACAGGGATGCTTCTCAAAAAGCTGAACTGCTGATTTCTTGTAGATCATTACAGCTAATGCAATCACTGATCCAATATGGAGAAAAGGAGAAAGGACACTTGTTCCCTGTACAGAGTGAAGAGAGGTGGTAAGGGTACTATTCAATGTTCATCAGATACACATGATCTATCATAAAACGGATCATCTCAAACTTTCTATAACCCCATGGTGCCCGACAGCCAACAATATCTATAAACTGAACATTGGAAGAGCTAATGAAAAGCAGCAGCAAGAACGGGTTAGGCTTATTATTTACAAAGCAGATCATACTTTCTAAAAATATGTGTGTGTTTGTGCATGCACAAGAACATGCATATATAAGCATTTAAATGTATGTATGTATATATAAAACTGAGAAGTTTTGGACACTTTTCCTTAAGGCTAAGTAGAAATACTAAATTAACTAATGATTTTATATACTTCAAATGAAAAACAAATTGACCACAAAACCAAGTCCTAGTTTGGAAATCAACAGAAATCTTAAGATATACTCACTGCTATTGTTGATCCATTTTTGCCAACACCACCTGTGAAGATTACACGGAAGTAATTTGTACAGGAAAATATGGTCCCTGCTACAGTACAAAGCGCAGGAAAAATTTTCATTTGAATATTCAGCACTGGAATCTTTAATAGGTAGAGAGAAAGAACAATTAAAATATATACAAACTAAAATTTAAAAAAAACAGTATAAATATTTGATTTATATTCCCAAATATTCTTCATTCCCTCCAGTTTAATTAATACTTAATGGAAGCTTCCTTCTCCTCTTCATCATAAGCAATATGACAAGACTCAAGAGATGAGGCTGTA